CGCCCCCGAGCTGCCCCGCAACGGCGGCGCGGCGGCCGGGCGGCCCTCGCTGAGCAGCAGCGGAGAGTTCTACGACCTCGCCTTCAAGGTGCGGGGGGGGCCGGGGGTGCTGCGGGAGGGGTCCGGGAGCGCGGGGTCAAGTCGGGTGCGGGGTCGGCTGTAGCGTTCCCGAAGTTCCCGGGGTCAGGAGCGGGCGGGCATCCCTGAATCCCTGCTTCCCTGAATCCCTGCATCCCTGCTTCCCTGAATCCCTGCATCCTCGCTTCCCTCCCTCCCAGCCCCGGCATCCCGTCCGTCCGCAGCCGCCGGGTCGGGGGCTCCACGGGGGCTCCCGGGGCAGCAGGGTCGGGATCAGCCCCCCCGGCAGCGGGGCTGCTGCTGCGGGACTTGTGCAAGTGATGGCCAGAGGCTGCTCCGGGGAGCTGCTGTGGCCTCCCGGCTCCTCTGTAACCTACAAAAAACGGGGCTGTGAGCGGGGTGATGGCACCCCTTGAGTGGCACCGAGTCTGCTCTGGCTGCTGCTGAGATGTCTCCAGCTTTCTGGGCTCAGATGGCTTCTTCTCGCTGCTTCAGATCCTGCCGAGAGAGTCACAGAACAAATTAATTTGCATCCCCCCCACTTCATCATACGACCTGATGCAAGCCCAGCTTGAAGCTCACTTGATGATTTTAGGGTGCACTTAGCGATACGGGGGCTCATTTAGTGATTTTGGCTGAGGCTACAACTCAGTGCAAACGCTCTGGGCTGTGTTTCTAACACGGAGCTCTGTAACCGAGCGCGGGGGACTGAGCCGGGAGAACGCGGGCTTTGCTGGGGCAGGTCCTGCCGCGGTGTGTGGTGTCGAGAGCTCGGTGCCGGTGGCAGTTGGCGTGGCCATCGCGTTAAGGTTTGGGATGTGGGGTAGGAGGTGAGGGGTGTTCCAGAAGTGGGTTTGGTTGCTTTGGTAGGCGGTTGGTCCTGGTACAGCTGCAGTAATGGTTTAACGGCTTCCCTAAAATGGAGCCACCTCCGTGTTTGCGCTGGTTCCGGGCTCCTGGAGCTCACCTCTGCCTGCCCGGGCTGTGGCTTTCCCTGGGAATTGTGCCCACGGCACAGGGATGAGCCAAATGGGTCTCAGAGAAGCCCAAACGACCCAGTTAGCCAAAACCTCTGCTAATGGTCTGGCTGATTTTGAACCAGTGGCAGAGAGAAATTGCTTTCTATCCAGTAAAACCCTGGTTTGTTAAACTTTCTCCTTCCCTTGCCCCTCTTCTGAGGCTCCTGAGCTCTGCCTGAGGCAGTGGCCAAATTCAAGTCTTGGGTATGGGGCTCCATCCTGGCCCCGGGCACTTTGCATGACTGGTGAGGGATCGGTGATGCTGAGTGGGGAGAAGCCGCTATTGAGGGTCACCTGTTTCAGAGAGAGGTCTGGAAAGTTAAAGAACCCCGATATTTTGTACTAAAATTGACTTCCCCCCCTTCCCTTGGCTTTGCACCAATACACCCGTGGTTCACTGGCTGCCCTCACCCCCTCGTGCCAGAGCTTGGTGTGTGGGGCTCTGCACCGTGGGGGCTGGGGCACTGTGGCTGGATCCTGCCATCCTGGGCAGAGCCCTCCTGCCCCAAAACGAGCTACACCTGCACCCGGGGCTGCTGCCACCTCTCAGGGCTGAGCTGCAGAGCCGTGCTGGCGTTTGCCACTTCGGATGGCTCCTGGGAGGATTCGGTGTGACCCAGGGCAGTCCCTGCCTTAAAACCATTTAAATCCTGTCACAGCCTAATGGCTCTCGGAAGGCTGATGGGAGCACCTTGGGAGAGAGGGAACCTGCCATGGCAGGTGCAGAAGGAGCTCACGCAGGTCGGTTCCATGGTCCCAGATTTCCCGGTGGTGGGAAGTTGTCATCCCACTGAGGGGAGGGGGCTTGGTGCCCAGGGGGGCTGTTGGTTAGGGCTGAGGTTTTGGGGAGCTGTGTCTGGGAGCAGGCTCAGCTCTGCCGTGGTCTCTGTGGCAGGGGGCTGCCTGCCCTGTCTGCACCCAGGGCAGCTGCTGGGTGGGGAAACTGAGGCAGGGGCACCGGGAGCTGCTTCCTTGGCATCTGTGGAGGACCAGGAGGGCAGCTGTGGGCATCTGTGGGTCCCACTGAAGGCAGCTGCTTGCAGAGGGCTGATGCACCCCTGGAGCTGGTGCTTATGGTTGGGGACTCCCTGAAGTCTCCCCATGGGTGGTGCCACGCTCCCAGAAAGCCCCACAGTGGTGGGGTGTTTTGTGGGTGTGTTGGGGAGCCCGTGGGCCCTGCAGCCATGGGGTTACAGCTTGTGGCACCCAGCTGGCACCTCTTGGTTTTCAGGGGGGGGTTTGTGCCCCCATGAAGGACTTGTTAAGTACAGCTTGGGGTAAGGTGTCTCGAGTTGAGCCAGTGCTCAGGGACACACGTGGTGCAGGATAGGGAATAATTCTGCTGTGAGTCTCCCTTTTTCCCCCCCACCCTCCCCTGGGTCCGTCGCTCTTGGATGTGCTTTGTTCCTCTCAAGCGTGTGGGATCTGCTGCCTGCTCCTGGGATGGAGCCGGGTAATGGCTCCAGGGGGCTTCCTTCCCAAAACCCGGAGTCTAACCCCCGCTCCCTCCCTCCCTCCCAGGTGATGCTGGTGGGCGACTCCGGGGTCGGCAAGACCTGCCTGCTGGTGCGGTTCAAGGACGGCGCGTTCCTCGCCGGCAGCTTCATCTCCACGGTGGGAATCGACTTCAGGGTGAGTGCCCGGGGCACTTCTTGGCCCCTGCCTGGGGGTCTGGCAGGTGAGCGATGGATTTTTGCAGAGGAGTAACTAAACGTTGCTCCAAGGACTTAAACCTCGTCACCCTGACCCGTGTCAGCTCCACCCGGGGCACCTCGGGCTCTGATGGCAGTGGGGGCAGCACAGCAACCTCTTGGTTACAGCTTTGCACAGGGATGGGGGAGCGTGTCCTCTGCTCAGGATCCCGGGGATAATTCCTGTAAGAACTGCTGAGGCCTGGCATCTGCCAGTGAAAATATTTCCCTAAGTCGTTTTCAGTGTTTATAAGAGTGGTTTGTTTTTTCTTCTTGGAACAACAAAACCAAAACTGACACGAACCAGAATTCCCTGGAAACATTTCCTGAGCGCAGCTTTGGTGTCCCGACATGGGGGTCTCCTGCCAGGTGGCCCTGCTCCCTCTGGCTTGGGGGCGTGTGTTGTGCTGAGGGGTCTCTGAGGTGTCTGTTTTGTCTGTGATCGGAGCATCCCAGTGCTGGGAGAGTCCTGCAGTCGGTGTGTTGGAGCTGTGTGGCTCCAGCGAGGACAGCAGGAACCTGCCTGACCGAGGGGTAATGGGGTGGCTGAGGGGGCAGAAGGGGAGCCACGTCGTGCCCTGCAATGGCCTGGTGTGCCCAGAGCATCCTTTGCCAGGCAGGGACACCTTAGTGCCGTCCAGGGACCTTGAAACCTTCCCTTGGCCGTATTTCCCCATCAGCACCTTGTGGCTGCCTGGGGACGTTGTGGTCCGGGGTTGGATCTCTCCCTTTCTTGAAGGATTCCTGGGAGATGGGTGTCTCTTGTAACCTGCTGTTTTGTGGGGTGTGAGTAATAACTGGCTGCTGCAGTGACATGGGGAAGGGATGAAGGACGGCTCAGAAAGGCTCAGAGAGCCTTTAGGAAGGAAATGATGTTTGGTGCCGAGCGAGGCTGTTGGCTGCAGCAGGTGAAATGGGTAAATTGGAGTCTGTAATTTTATACAAAGGTAATTACACAGTATTTCAGGTGTTCTTCAAATGAAAAGCATTTTATTGCCGATTGCAGTGATTGATATACCAAGGGCAGTCGTAAAACCCTGTGACTTATTGATTAGAGCACTGAAACGACTGTTACTGAGAAGCAATCAAATTAGGGTTAATTTACTTCTCTAACAGAGCTGCTAGAGCTACATTGCTCTGAAATGGGCAGATTATGCAGTGGGGAAGATCATGTGTATGCCCTAAAACTCATTATCATCATCCTTTTAAGGCACTCATAATTTTTGGGGGACATGGAAATAGTTTTTTGATGTGCATCTCCGTTCCCATTGAGATAATCCTGTTTGCAGGTGCTGTGTAATTGTCCCTCTCGCCGTTGGCACTGTGGTGCAGATGATGCTCTGGGGTGGCAACGCTGGAGGCTTCTGCTGGTTTTAATTTGCGTCTTTCTAATCAGAAAACTGTCACGTGGCAGCTTCTTCTCTCCAAAATTCCAGAATTTGCTCGGGGTTTGCTGGCTGAAGTGAGCAAGGCTGTTTGAGGCGAGGCGGGGCTGGGGTGGGAGGATGTTGCTGGGGTTTGCTGCGCTCTCCTGGCCTGGTGTTGGAGGTGCTGAGCGAGCACAGAGTGTTTGTTTCGGTGCTTTGGGGGTTTTGGGCAGGGTTTGTGGCAGTCTCTGAGCCTTGCTGGCAGCAGAGACCGTGGGGACCTCCCCAAGGCCAGCGCGTGTGGCAGCTGCACTCCTGTGCACGTGTGACCTTGTTTGGCTGTGGGAGCCGGGCCCTGCCAGGACCCTGGATCCCATCCCAGCTGGGGGAACCACGGGGACAGAGCTGCCCAGCTCCTGACGTTGTTTTTGGGGCCATCTCCACTGTTCTTTTTGCCACTTGGTCCCTGCAGGCTCCCTGGGATGGGATGAGCAGCCCCTGTGCCCGCCCAGGCACTCTCCACCTCCTCTCCCAGTCCACCCACTGGTCCCAGGGGGTCCAGGATCCATCGCTCATTTTCAAGGATGTCGAACCATCAGATGCAGGCAAAGCTAATGGGTTACATAGGCCTGAGTGAATGTAAATGAATAGAAATCCATTTAAAATTAATCTGGCATTACAATTCCTAATGGCCCCCAAGGTTTGTTCCCTCCTACTGTTTTATGTGAGGGAGAGCCTCCCACATCGTGTTTGTTTATCATCATCTCTTAAACAAAGAAGGATGTTGATGTGAATGTATTTGGAAAACAAATCACTGATGCTGGGGAAATAAAGATGATTGTATTGTTAAAAAAGGCATCAAAATGGCACCTGTTGGCTTCGAGCTTTGGAGGTGTCAAGTCTTCAATGTTCCTTCCTGTGAAAATTGGGCTTGCTGGGGTAGCATCTTTAGCTCCTTGAGAAAATTCCAGCCTCAGCATTCAGCCAGGACAATGCCAGGGGATCCACAGCGAGGATTTGGCTGGGGCTGCTCTGCTGGGGTGATGCTCCCCATGCTGTGGGTGCAGAGTCTTGAGCAGGGGGTCACTTGGAGCGGCAGAAACGTCGTTGGAGTTGCTGTGTTGTTTCCCCCTGGGGTGGGGGGCAAACCCCTCTCTGTCTCTGGTGTCTGGGTCACAGTTGTCACCTTCAGTGTTTCCAGCCATTACTAGATAACAAGGGGCTTAATTATTCCTTCCCACGAAGGAATTATTCATTCCGAGCCAGGGCACAAGGTTTTCTTCCTCCTGGGGACTGGGGGATCCCGGCAGGTCTCTCCCCACAGATCCCCACCGGTGAGGGCAGAGCAGCTCTTTGGGCAGGTCCTGTGTGCTCTCCTGCCTTCATGTGTTCAGATTCCAGGGAGAAGGGGCTCCCGGAAAAGAGCAGGATTAGCCCTCAGGGGTGTGAATCCCGTTTTTCTCAGTGCCACGGAAGGAGCTGCCTCTTGCTGTAATTTTGGCAACGCCGCAAAAACCTCGACAGAAATCCAAGCTGAGCAGCCAGTGGGACTTCTGTCCTGTCGTGACAGCTGAGTAACGGGAGGAAGGTCCTGCCAAAGCAGAGAAGCCAAAGGTCTTCATGAGCCCACCGTGTCCCTGTCCCCGATGACATCCCGGCTCCCTGGGGCTGCCCAGCCCGGTGCTCCCAGCCCAGAGCTTTGCAGGGTCGGGCAGGTGAGGATTTTTGTACTAATTGGACCTGAAAGGAGAAGAACATGAAAGAAAACTAAAATTAAGGATGAGCCTTTTCTCCCTGGGAAGAGGTGCTAATGAGCTTCTTTGCATTAGCGGGGGGGATGGTTTCTGTGTTAATCAGGGGCTTGAAACCATTGGGAAGCACTTTGTGGTGGAGTTCAGAGCAGGGTGGCTTCTCTTTTGGTTCTCCGAGGTGTGTAGTGGTGTCGCTCCGAGGAGGGGGTGCAAACCAGCATCCTCCTGGCACCGAGTTTGGTGCTGCTGGAAGAGGAGGAGCAGGAGGGAGTCGGCACAGCCCCGGGCCGCCCGGGCAGGCAGCGGACACAGGCATTGTCTCCTTTGAAGGTTCAGCTTTGATGTCCAGCGGTTCACACCGGTGTGCCCGGGGGGTTTCTGCTGCTGCCCCCCGCCGCAGTCCCCTCGGGAGGCTCCGGGCTCCAGCCTTGGCCGTGCCGCAGATAATCTGTGTGTTGTAAACAAAACCTGCCACCGGTGGCCCTGAGCTCTCAGGACTCTTGATTACACTCAGCCCTGTGCTGCTCAGGGGGTGGAATCAACGGTGTATAATGTTTTTTTTCCACGAGATTTTGTTGTGTTTGTGTGTGCACCTTCCACCGGCCCTCGGCGGCCGCCTGTGCCTCGAGCAGCCAGCTGAGCTTTTGCAGGAGGATGGGAGATGTGTTCCTGCCATGCAGAGGAACAGTGACCATGGTTTGGATTCACCAAGGCTGGTCCTGGATCTCCACATGCTCGGGGGGCAGGGGGCTGTGGATGCCCTGAGCATCTGCTGGTCCCCAGTGGGCACCCGAATCCCTGTCCTTGGGGCGATGCTCCAGTTCCCAGCAGGTGCCCACATCTCTGCCCTCTGAGTGATGCTTCATCACAGCCTTTGCCTGGTGCCTCCCTTGGAAGGGCTGGAGCAACCTGGAGGCTCCTGGAAGCCGAGGGCTGGCTTTTATCTCAGCGGTTGGCATGGAGCATTAGCAGGGCTCATTTTCTGATGGATCAATCTAGAAAAAGTGGGAGGGGAGCTGCTTAGGCCAGAAGAAAGAAATAGAAATAAATTAATTTCAGCATGTCTTTCTGTACTAAATTAGCCCTGGATGTTGGAGGGAAGGGACTCTGGCACTGGGCAGAGTGTTCAGTCTCTCCTTTGCCATGAGCATTGTGATGTGTGTGGGGTCAGGATGAGGATCTGCTGCAGCAGGGTGGGTTTAGGTTGGTCCCTTCCAACACAAACCATTCCGTATTTGTGTGTATTTCCAGCAGCTCTTTGTCTGAAAGTGGTTTGTTCTGCAGCTCCCATTGCTGGATGAATTTTCCCAGCAGCCAGGAGCCGATTTCATATTTTTGCATTTCTCACTGTACGGAGAGCTGGGCTCAATTTGCCCAGAGGAGCTTCCCATCCCTCAAAGTGTCCAAGGCCAGGCTGGACAGGGCTTGGAGCAACTTGCTCTAGTGGAAGGTGTCCCTGCCCATGGCAGGGGGGTGAATCTGGATGGTCTTTAAAGTCTCTTCCAACCCAAACCATTCCAGGATTCCCTGATTATTCCTGCAGTGCTTCCACCCCTTCTGCCCGGTTTCAGGGATGGGATGCGATGCCATCACCGGTGCCATAGGGACCAGGTGTGCCTGAACTCAGCAGCAGGTGGGGCAGATCCCGGTGCCCTGGCACAGGGAGGGCAGTGCCTGTCAGCTGGAACACGCCGTGATTTCACCCCTTTGTGCCGTGTGTGGCTCTGAGGGCGACGCCTTCTCCACAGCTGCTGCCGGTGCCTGTTCCCCGCTCCCAGGACGGGCTCTCAGAGGAGTAAATATTCATTTTTCCTGGGAAGCTG